TGTCCTTCTGACATACTGCGCCATCTTTGTTTTTTCTCTGTCGATGAATTTTGCATTTCTTCTCCTTTCACTTAACGTGCTGTACGTGACGATTCGACAATTATTAACGAAGATGTGGCTTAGTGTTCTTCTGGCATGTTGCGCCATCTTTGTTTTTTCTCTGTCGATGAATTCTGCATTTTTTTCCTTCCATTTGATGTGCTGCACGTTGAGACTCAGCTATCATTAATGAAGATGTGGGTTAGTGCCCTTCTGGCATGTTGCACCATATTTGTTTTTTCTTTGTCGATAAATTCTGCAATTCTTATTCTTTCCTTTGACATAAGTTTTTTCATTGATTTTCGTTGCAGTTCTTCCTGTGTTGTTTCACATTAGGCGCTCGATATTATATTTTTTATAGTCTACAAATGAAATCATTTGAAATGAGTACTCACATCGACCTGTTGTCACTAATATAGCGAAAATATGTTATGAGGTCCTTTTGGCCTCGTAAAATGATTAACTATGTCTTTTGACATCTAAACGAATACATTGATGTCAAAATCATCAGAATCGGACGACCGGAAGTGAAATCCGAAAGTGACTTGTTTTTGACGGATTCGAAACCTTCTCACCCTAAGGAATCCAAAAATACCATATGTTTCAGTATACGATGATTTTTTCATTATTTTGTCAACAAATTCTGCGTTTTGAATCAAACTTCTGCAATTGGATTACACTCGTAGTTGTTCATAACCCAACAACTTTTGATTTCAAGTATGTTCAATGATTTAATTTGAATGTGCAATTCTTCCTATTCTGTTTCACATTAGACGTTGTATTTTATACTTTTCATATACTACAAATGAAATCATTTGAAATGAGTACCCACATCGGTCTGTTGCTGCTAGTATAATGAAAATAGGTTATAAGGCCCTTTTGACTTCGAAAAATGAATAATTATGTTTCATGGCATGTAAACGAATCCATTGATGTCGAAATCATCGAAATCGGACGACCGGAAGTGAAAACCGGAAGTGAATTTGTTGAATTTGTAATTCTTTCTATGCTGATTCATATTAGGCGTTGGATATTATATTCTTTACACTATCTTTGTTTTTCTTTCTGTCGGTACACTCTGTATTCGTTTTCCTTCCATTTGATGTGCTGCACGTTGAGATTCAACTATCATTAACGAAGATTTGGCTTAGTGCCTTTCTGACATGTTGCGTCATCTTTGCTTTTTGTTTGTCGATGAATTCGGCATTTCTTATCCTTTCATTTGACGTGCTGTACGCGACGATCCGATCATTATTAATGAATATACAACTTAGTGCCTTCCTGACAGTTACGCCATATTTTATTATAACTCATTCATTTGACTGATTCATAAATGACTGTCATATTAAAACACGAAAAACAGTTACGACAATAACGATGAAACAATAACGAACAAACGCACGCAAACGATCGAAAACGCATGGAAAACGGTGGAAAACGCACAGAAAACGGTTGAAAACGCACGATTTGCGTGCGCAAAACGGTCGAAACTTTTGTGAAACGGTCGCTTTCCCATTTTCGAATGTTAACTCCACAATACATAACTCCTTGACTCCTTTGGTGTCATCTCCTTCTCCTGATGATGCGAAGTTGGTTAACAAAGATACGAGACTTAAGTGTCCTTCTGACATGTTGGAACGTTAGACTTCTGTTAAACCGAGAGGTTTTTTTGCTTAAATGATGTATTTTGGAATGCCCTGTATACACATTGATATCATATTTTTAAACCGACATGTTTTTTCCTTAAATGATATATTTTGACGCACCCTGTACACTTCGACGCCATGTTTGTTGTCAATGATGTATTTTGAGATACCTTGTAACATTGAGAGATCGCACTTACGATACAGCCTCATCAATCTGTGATGTTTTTTCTTATATCTGATTCATTATTATTAATATATCACTTTCACGCTTCCAATTTTCATTGAGTCGTTCACGATTATTTTCAAAACCGGCAACGCTTCATTGCCCCATAAACAATTTATTGTACAACCGGCAATGCCGTACCTGCCATGCTGGCATTGGCAGCGTAAAACCTCGGTACCATTTCCATCTCGCTTTGGCTCGATTACGTCACATGCGTCTCTCGTTCTTACAGAAACATCTTTATATGAAATATTAATTATTTCCCAAATCTAAGTATATTTTCCTATCTTCAACATGATAATGACGATTACAACTTCCCTAACATTCTACGGGAATAAAAAAATGTGGTCAAGTCAATATCTTACGTTGGTGTAGAGGCTAAGGACAATGTCTACCACGCGGACGATTCAGGTTCGAATCTCCTCATAACTATAAACTTTTTTCAATTAAAATTACGTGACAAGGAGGCCTGAGCGGTGATGAGGAGTCCCAAGGAGGCCGAGGGGTGAGGCGGAGTACCAAGGAGGCCGAGTTCCATGCTTGAATCGCTACGATACTCGTTCCATCCTGCGTCGATGACGTCACACGATTCTCTCTTCCACTCAATAAAGTTTCTCTCTGAAATACTTACCAGCGACGCTGGTAAGTATTTCGTATATCGCATACGTAACTTACGTGACCTTGAGGTTTAATCTTACGCAACTTTGCAGTTTGACATTGAATGACGTCACACGACGTCATGCATGCTATACGAACTTGAACATGAAGGTTGACCTTGAGATTCAAGACTGTCCCCGGTACGCGAGGTTTAAACTTGGAGGGCGCCGCAAGACCTTGAGATGTGTGCACGACATATGACCGTGAACATGGAGTTTGACCTGGAGAGTTTGACCTGCATGTGACTTCGAATGATGTCACAAGACCTTGAGCTTGAAGTTTGACTGTCCCCGTTACATAACCTTGAACCCCTTTCTCTTCAGCGTGCTGGTAACTTGAAGCTCACCAGCCGCTACTATAAACTCGAATGCCACAGTGAGCAGATACCTGCATTGAAGCGGTCAGCCTGTAAGGAGACTCAATGGTGAGAGGAAGTACTGAAAGTCTCAGTGAGCTCTAGACACTCTACCAGGGCTGTTCCCTGAAGGTCATTTCAATATTTGCATCAAGACATTTTACACTTCGTCCGCCGGCTGGCATTTTAAACTCTGATGGGTCGGTGAGCGCACGTCTGAACGAGGACCCTGAGGTACGGGACATACATGCAGATTAAAAGCGCTCCATACCTGCAACTGGACCCTCGAACTGCATCTAACGGTAAATGTCTGAGAATATGGTAGGCGGTCCTATTTTTACAATCACAGACATACTGAACAAGGGACGCCTCCTTCTATCTTGATGGATATCTTCATTACGCAAATCGACAAGTTAATGTTGTTTCGACTCGAATACACACACTACAGAGGGGGCACGGCAAACTCCATAGACGGAGCGTAATTGCTTTACGTTTGGAGATTAATTAATCTTTTAAATATTTTCAATGGTGAACGATGTTTTATTATTCTATTATTATCATGAGGCTATTGCCAGAATCATTTCATCTTCAACAAAGGTTGTCCTGCATTGGTCGTAATAAAATTCCTCCTAGTTTCGAAAATGCACCTATATTATCAAACAAAAAAAAATTGTGACTCGAATGACACTTCAAATATACTTTTAGGAGCCGGCAAAAAGTTTTGACCCAAAAAGCATTTGTGAACTAGACTTTTCAACGGTATGTTTACTGGCGTGGTGGATTGCAAATTTCCAATTTCCTCGGGTATCTAAGATCTATCAATTCGGACAGGAGTCAACTGTTGTGAAAATTTTCCAACTTTGGTTTCATTTTATTCGTCCAGAATGAATCGTCCTTGATAATCTAAAAAAAAATCCTATCAATTTTATAAGGTCATGGAATATAAAACAGAATTAATACATAAAGTGCTCAGCCTATAATTTTGATATTTATAATCAGAAATATTTTTAAATGATTGTTGAAGGCAGTTAAAACATGGATGAAAACCAATTTATCGTTTTGATAACTAAAATTCCCAACGGAGTCCAAATTACAAAATAACACAGGGAACGCTGAGTAATGTGTAGCTGTCCTTGTACTTGATAGTAATAATTATGATTTTGTTTCAGCTGTAAGTGTAGATTCTCATCTAGAGTACAGAAATTTATTATTTTTTGCTCGATTGCTTCTTGGGGTGCATTTTTGACGCACTTCACCTCAACAATGGCGTCATCTCCTATCAACCCATCAGGACTGGCTCCAAAAATATAGTCGTTTTCATCAATGAACATTCCACAAGGTTCAACCTGTGACAAAAAAAAATAATATTTACTCTTGTGTATCATTAAAGAAAGTATTACTTTGACATCAAAATCATTCTCTAGTTGTCTAATTGCGAATGGCTCATGTTCTCTTCCATACTTGGTGTTTTCGTTTCCTCCGAAGGTGGCATAAAGTAAGTTTTTCACCTTATTGACACAAGATGTTGTTTTTCGCATCTTGCAAATGTCACCAAAATGTGAAGCTGTTAAGCGAATACTTCTCCCCTGTTGCCATAAAGGATTGCCAGATTGGCCTCTTGTATTGACTTCAATGAGTTTTATCTCTTCGGCAGTTTTTTTTAATGAATTGAGAAAATCGTATTTTTTTGCTCGAATTGATCGGTAGATAAATCAGGATCAGGGATAGCGTCTGGGCCATAATCCTTATCTGGCAGAGCATATTTCTTCTTAAATTTTGGTGGAAGGTCTTTATTTTTGCGTCTCGTGATTTTCTGAAACTGGCGTTTCCTTTTCATCTTTTCTACATATCTTTTGGTATAAAATGGGACTTTGTGTTTTTCAACAACATTATAATAGTCCCCATCAGAGTTCAGAGTTGAATGAAATAGCAGCAGCTTTACAACGTGTCGCATACGATCTTTTACGAGAATAGTTTATTCTTTTACCTCCAACAAACTTGCAGATGATGCTGTTCAGCGATATTGGTATCCAGGTCCGCTATTAAGCTGGCCGCATTGAAAACTAAGCGGTTTTCAATATCGTGCAATAGACCACATGCTCTCATGCTGGGTATATGATCAACTCCATCTAATCTTGGAGAACACTTGAAATGTGATATCTCCTGACATCTTTCATGCTGTCCAAATACATGTGATGGGACATTCTTGAGATCTTTGCATAGGTTCTCAACTTTTTGGACCAATGAAGTTTTTTCTTTAATCCTGAACATCGTAGCAGATTTTATTGAAGTGCGTAGTCTACGGGCATTGCTTTCAACTAGTTTCCTTAGGCCTCGAGGCCTAAGGAAACTAGTTGAAATTTTTTGAATTACTTTGCTTTCTATCTGTAAATTGAATTATGATTATTATCTTCATTTTATTGTCAGAATGAATAAATAAATTAATACCACAAATTTCTCGGATCTTCTTCGAAAAATTCCTCATCAAATGATTGCGACACTCAATTTTTTGTATCATAAGTATTCCATAAGGTCGAGCTTCCAGTAGTTTTTGATGAACACTGCTATCACCATCTCCAATCAATTTGCATGCTCCGTTTGAAACCCTCAACTATGATATCGGATTCCATACTGGTTGATGATTCACTCCAATTTTTGTAGCATTTGTTTTCAGGTAAAGGAATATTCTCATGTACTGCGGAACGCGAGCACACGGCACAAAACTTATTTCTAACGCCCAGGAATAAACTTTTTTTCGTTCTAGCACCAATTATACAGGCCTGTAAAATAAGAATATAATAATGATATATTCGGTGCACTCAGCAACTGACTACCTACTACGCCTGAAGATGCATTATAATTTACGGAGTATGATCTTTTACTCCAAACCCCGTCAGCTACAACGGTAATCATTGGAATACCGCTTTCATCGACCTCTCCTAGTTCTTGAGCTATTCGAGCCTCTTCTTGACCTGCTTCCTCCATGACCTTCCAAGCAGTCTCTTCAATGATATCAGCTACATTTTCGTGGTGTTGCTGATAAGTAGAGTTACTCATGAACGGTACACATTCAAAACAGAGAGCATCTCGTTGATTGTAGAGTATCCACTTCCGGTTGAAACTGTGGCCAACGCTAAAACGCTATTTATGTCCATTTCCCCATCGGTTTCTTCTATGAGATGAATGGTTCTTTCAATATTGCACATTTTGCATACAAAACTGATTTTGGTTTTCAAACCCATTTTATATTCATGAATTGGATACATATCACTGAATGTACAATCGAATGGTGGATGCTTCGATATTTCTGCGATTTGCGTTAATAAATATCCAATATCTGCCAAACGTTGCCCCTGTAGAGATACACCTGTATACAAACTGAAAAAAAATGTGTAGGTTCATATGAAAAAGATCAGAACGAATATATTTCTACCTCTGGGAAGTATTGACAGTGGTTTCCACAATTTCAATGGATGAAGCTACGGCAGAGACATCTCCACTACACATTGGACGAACATCATCACTGAAAAATAAATGTTTATTTGATCTTCTGGTTCGTATGCTGGCGTATTCGCAAAAAAGTACTACTAGGTATGTTTCATGTTTTAATGGATTACCTTCCCGAAACTTGAACAAATCTAGTTGGAAAAGGGGAAATGGACTCCTCGCTGTTATAAGAGTTGTCTGTGGTTGACTTTTTCCTAGAGAAAACAACGAAGTAATTATTTTTCTACAACCTCCTACAACAGGTTACTTACATACAAGGTTTTCAATTTTTGACAAATAATAATCTACGAATCCGATTCACACATAGCCAATACCTCTAAATAACCAATTATTTCATTGTCGAAAATATAATATGAAATACTCCTAATAAAAAAGGTGTAACTTTCTCAACGATATCACTTGTTTGGAAATAGATCTATATTTATTTTATACTTATAACGTTGAATTATGGATAAACGTAATTATTATTAACAATCGATAATTTCATTATATCATTGTATAAAAAATAAGAATAACCATCTTTTCTCCATAGATCTTCTAGGTTCAATTTATTTCCTTTCATAATTCCAGCCATATAAATTAATCCCAACAAAGCACGAATTTCAGTGACATCAGTTTTATTTGCATCTCTTTCCCTCGTATATTTAGTTTTTATTTTTTCTATAAAAAGGTTAGTGCACATAACAATTTCCGAAAGAATTTCTTCAGTGAAAAAGTGGTTCCATATTTCTGAAGGTCGCTTTAAAAGCCTTGTTGTTTGTGTGGGGCCAGGTAGACGTTTCATAATATTTTCTTGTCGTGTTCTAATTGTTGTCCTTGGAGGTTTATGTTTTTTCCAATAAGTGTTGTCTTTAGCTGTAACAAAAAGTACCAAACGTAAGATAAAAAAAAATAGTTGATTTTTGTTACCTATAAAAGATGAACCTGTCATCTGGTAGTTATCATTATTTTCATCAGCATTGTCAATACCTTGTTCGGAGTCACTACGACTCAGACTCTGACTACGTCAGATTCATCGAATGGGACTTCAGCATCATTATGGAACGTAATTCAAACACAATTAAGTACAAACTCACACTAATACAGGAAACGAAAGTGACTTACATATGAAGCTTTCAAAATTTTTGACTAATAATAATCTACGAATCGATGGGTTTCGAATGCCACATGCTCGATGAGACGTTACACATAAACAATACCTCTAAGTAACCAGGGCTTATATTTGCCGAAAATACATAAGTAATACCTACCTAAGGCGTCACCTACCTAACTAGTAATATCTACCTGACCATCTATAATGGTCCCAAAATAATACTCTGGGAATACCTGACAAGTAATAAATTGATTTCCGAAAATTTATTAACAAAAGATAGCAATTACAATTGAAAAAAAATGGGTAAACAATCATTTTGTTGCCATTGCGTTGAATTATATGGATAAACGTAATTATTATTAACTATCCATAATTTTATTATAATTCACTATATCAAAGATACGACTATAAAATCGGACATGAATATTCCTTTTGTCATACAAAAATAAAATTGAATGCGAAGTTGAATTCCAATGAATTTGCTCTAAACATCGTTTTCAGTATGTAACTAACCTTGAGTCATAATGATATCGCTCAAATTTATAAAATAGTGCGATTAAACTAATTGAATAATTATTGATTTCTTACCGATGTTTCTACGCCTACGTATTTTCTCACTTGTGTACTATCGTTTTCCTTCCGCAGCGTCTAGCCTTCCTTTCCCAAAATCACACCAAGAAGCAAGTTCCGAATTCAAAAACCATGAAGGAGAAATTCACAATGAACGAATTGCAGCCCATAAATAAAAATCTGCATGCCGTTTGCCGTTGCATTTGCGATCAGGGAAGAGATTGTCGGGTGATCAGAGGGCGCCACGAACTGATTGCCGTGAATGCATTTTCTATTTTACTTCTCAAAGTTTTCATTTAAAATGTGATGATTTGAAATAGTGAACGAATTCAAAACTGCATGCCGTTTGCCGTTGCATTTGCGATCAGGGAAGAGATTGTTGAGTGATCAGAGGGCGCCACGAACTGATTGCCGTGAATGCATTTTCTATTTTACTTCTCAAAGTTTTCATTTAAAATGTGATGATTTGAAAATGTATTTAATTTCAAAAAAACTAACCTTTTAGTTGGGATATTTTTTTTCTTTTCAAAAATTCGAAAAACAATAGTCAAGCACTTAAGGAATATTTTTTTGAAGCGATCGGTGCAAGTTGCATGAAAATCGGATAACTGGTTAAGAAACTATAAGTAAAATACGTTTCAAGTGGGCATGGATTCCTCTTAAGGCAGCGAGGTGTGTGGCATACTCGATACAGTGTCGGTACATTCCACACTCATACTTTATCGCAAGTGGTTGTCAGTAGGGTACTGGAAATGCAACATTTTTTTATATAATCCGAAGAAGAAGGGGTAGGAGTGGGAGGTAGTTAGAAGTATTTGGTAGATTATTGTCGAATATATTCAGAAATGAAGACTGTTTTATGAGTTACCTACTTGAATAATGCTGTTAGATGGATTAAAAGTGATTTTTGAATAATACACATCGATCATTACTTCCATCATTAATTTTTTTTTTCGATAAGAAAATAATATTTGTTGATACCATATTATTAAAGTTCTTTGTTTGGTTATGAGAAGTGTCATTTTGTTCTGATTTAAAAATAAAGTACTATTTTGAGAGTTATTCATTTGAATAATGCTATGGAAAGTGTCGGAGTTTTTGGACAATACATTGATCATTACTCAGATATAATAATGATATTTGTTCAATTTACGATTAGAGTATTTTTGTGATATGGATTGTTCTATATTTTTCTGAATCTTATGTATAAAGAATTCCTAGGATAAAAACATTTAACTCCTTTTTTTATATTCGACTACTTATTTGGGCAATGTTAAATTGTATGATTGGAAGTCAGTAATTAATAAATCAAATTACTTGGTAGTTTCATTGTTTTAGTTTGCTAATTCACGTTGATTATTAAACAGAACATGGGTTCTGGTAGTTCTTTTCACATTTCTTGCGAATACAACTCAGCTTGCCTCCCCTCCTGGACGGTGGCTTTGGCTTTCTTACAGACCCGGACTTCTTGGTCTTCTTCGGAAGCTTCTTAACCTTTTCACTTCCCCTTTTCCTTCTCCTAGGGCTCTAGAACTTATCATCTAAACTAATCTACGACAAAATAGTCGGTGTAGATGTCATACCCATCGCGTGTTCATCCTCTCAAATCCGACAGTCCCATCAAGTAATGAGTCAGTGAGGCAGCGACTCCTCGAGGTCCAAATCCACCAAGTTGGAGGTCGCCGACAATGTTGGTGGCCCCATGGTGGAGATAAGCGGCGGTTTATTCTCCTTATCCTCATGGTCTGAGTTGAGGCCCTTAAAAAAGGACTTCACGTCAAGCGCCGTCATTTTCTGAGTGGAAGTCATCGACGGTGGTGGTTGGGCACTAGCTCCCTGGAGAATGAATGATGGACAACCATCTTCCTCCAACTGAGTATGGTTCAGAGGAATTGATGGGGTTTATAAAACCTTTTTCAAGAATGGTTTGGTTTTGGAGAAAATTATAATAAAATATTAGTCAATATAATATAGGTTTGATAATAATTTACACCTTACAATAAAACTTAACTTTATGTCGCTGCTACACTGACAATACTAACTAAAACTTCAAACTAATATTCAAATGTCTATCGCTTTATTAGTGCACTTCGCACCGCACTGTCAACTTTACTTCCACCGATATGCGTGTTGCTAGTGTTTATATATACCAATGGAAATATTAGGAAGACGATAACATTATTCTCGAAGCGACGTGACACCTAGAATAATCTAGAAACACAAGTAGAGTTGAGCGTACCTTGGCTAAGTCACAGTCGATTGACGACGACCAGCGTTATTTTTCTTCAGGAGATGATTTACAACAATAGTATGGTATGTACTTGCATCAAGCTGCTTTAAACTGCTGCTGACTAACTATTACGGCAAGTTCGTTTTGTGTTCTACTGCAATTGAATGATGAGCTGCCACCTACTCCTGTCGCCAAGACGGTACCTGGAGCTGTCCTGAAAAAGTACCCGGCTGGGCGTGGAGTTGCAAAAGACCTTCTGCTCCAAGGCCGCTTGTCGCATGAAGACCAGAGCCGGCGGGTGCTAGGCCACCGGAGGATCTATGTTGGTTTACGTCCTCGCCTCCTGGGCTCGATTCCAAATCCTGGACATCGCGCGTTCCCTGCATCATCGCGAAATCCAAGGGCAAGACCTTTCTTCAAAACCAAAGTATTCGAATCTATTATTTGCAGTACCCTGTGATTCTAGCTATCTAAAGGCGCCGCGGGGGTACAACTGGCCACTACGATGGCACTAGGCCGGACCAGAGGGTTCCCTACGCTCCCTAACCACTTGGCCGACACACTGTCCCAATTTGACCTACCTATATCCCTAGCCCGAGGGGAGAGAACAACCTCCGGAGGCACACGGTCGCTTTAAAGCCCCCAGATACCAGCCCACGTAGACTGTCTCTTAGATATGCTGGGTCGGCGTACCCTCCGATGTATTCGAGCCTGGGTAGGTCGAATACGTCCAAGAAGGCCGGCTAGTGGGTCCCTCGGTGCGGCGTGACGCCGGAAGTAACGAGTTACGAATTCTATTAATAAGCCCTGAAAAGGGCAATGCTTAGAACTAAAAAGTTCTGTTTGCAGCAGCTGGCCTTGAAAAAGACCGTTCGGCTTTGTATCCTGGTTTTATTAGAGTTAGTATTAATTATACTAAATTATAGGCAAGAAAAATGTGTTGTGAAGAATTTTATTTAAACTAGAAAACAGACATCAGACAACTACTACAACTAACAGCAAAAACAGGGTTGCTAGTGAATGACATACTCATATAACATTCTTACAGTAAACTGCATTACCGGCATTAAAAGATGTGCAGTATTAGAGATGGGCGCTATTATTTTTTGATAATATTAACACCCCCCCTCAAAATTGCAAAAATGATAATTAAAACAAATTCAACAATTTTACAAATTTTGCAAATTTTACATTACCTAAAGCTTTTGTAAACACATCAGCTATTTGATCATTAGTACATATGTAATTTAGGAGCAAAACGCGATCATTAATTAAGTCCAATACAAAATGATGTGATGTGTTTACACCGTTTATTATTTTCGAAATTATCGAGTAGTTTCATGACACTTTGATTATCCTCATAGATGATAACTGGCAATGGTAAATTTACTTTCATACTCAAAAGCAAGTTTTCAATATAAATTAATTCACACGATGATGCACAAACTGCCACGAATTCTGACTCAGTACTAGAAAGTGTTACAAAAGGCTGTTTTTTTAGTACACCAAGATATAAGATTATATTATCATTAAGCTTAAAACATTAACCACTAATGGATTTACGATCAGAAACATTATTTGCCCAGTCGGCATCACT